AATCATTTTCAAGTGATATTACGTCTGCTATTTTTTTTAACGTCTATGGTTTTTTTTCTTTTTATAGCTAGTTGTTTCGGTAAAACATTGTACGTTTCTTTTATAATTTCATATGTGTATTCTTCCTATTCGCAAAAACTTGGGGACGTTTGTTATCTATTTAGCAGTGTTCTGATAACACGCACCCAGCGCATGAGAGATAACGCCGTCTGTATTTGTTATTATTATTAATTGAAATTATAATTAAATCCGATGACATTTGGGAAATACCGTCATTGCAGTATGCAAGCATATGAACTTTCTATCCTTTAATATAGACTTGTATGATAAAGCTGAATGGTTTGTTTGTTTATTTGTTTGAACGCGCTAACCTCTGGAATTACGGGTTTGAGAGAAATACTAAATTAATTATTATGTTTTCGAATTACCGACGTAACTGTTGAACGAGGAACTCGACTAGTTTCAAGTAGTAGCGCGACAGTCGCCGCGTCGCGGGTCGCGGAATGCTACGCCTGGACGTAAGCCTTTAGCATGGTTTGAATCTAGTCGTGAAAATTATAATAAATCTACTAGTTCGAATTAAAAAATATCTCTTACAAATCATCACGCTATGATCAAATGGAGTCTTCATAAGTAACATGTAATTATGGCATGGCGTAATGCATTTTACATTTCATTCGCCAGAAGAGATACATACATGTATAACTTCACGCCTGTCTCCGATGGGGGTAGGCAGAGACTATGAAATGCCAATTACTACGGTTCCTACATACCTCTTTCGCGTCATCAGCAGTCATCAATCTTTTCATGCATGCTCCTCGGTTAAGGGAACTTGAATCGCCAGATGAGATATTTTTAGTTGACAGTTGACACATATCGCACTAATGTTTGTGTGTATGTTTGTACTAAATCTCGTCAACGGCTGAAGGAATCGGGATGAAATTTGGACCAGGGGTAGATTTTGGACTGGAATAACACATAGGCTACTGTCTATCCCACGGGAACACGGACGAAGTCGTGGGCAGAAACTAGTAGGCACATAAAATTTTTCATTAACTAGGTTAACAAAAAAATATTCGTACAATATAATACATTTTAAATTTATTTTTACTATTTTAAACAAATAAATTCATCTAAAACACCTAGCTATTAATGAACCTATAACACATGCACCTGTCAGCAAATCGCTACCGCTACATCTTATGACAAACACCACACCCGAACAGTAATTTCATCCATGAAATAGTTGGTGTTACCAAATAGGGATTAGAGTGAGACAGCACTATACACTACTAGGCGTGCGAGCGAGACAAAACATATTGTAGCGCGCTCTCTCGATTTCTGAGCTTCGTTCGTAGTTTAAACGTATCTTTTTGGAGTAGGCAGGGGAGTGCGGTTTTGTTTCATAGTTCCGTATATTTGTATACCTATTATTTTTGTATTCTTAAAATTCAATAAGTTAATTAGTTTGAATATGAGGTATAATTCGATTATTGGGTTAAGAAAATAAACTTGAGACGTTTGTTATTAAGATTTGATAGAGAAGTCAAAAGTGCGCATTTAATACATACACCAAGAATTGTATTATCGTGTTCGCAAAATTCAATTGGACCTGGGAATCGAACCCAGTAACCCGTACTTTAACAATAACAGTTTTACTACGAAAAGAAATATTACAATTGAAAAAGAGCAACCTCCGGCCGAAACGACTTATATACATACATACTTCGAAAAGGTCACATAGCAAACTAGAACACCAAGGGATAAACTACCCTTATCATTGTTATATAGGGGTTAAAATCGCTTGTAAAAAAAACTGTTTCAGTTTTCCTTTTTCCAGTATCGAGTTTTATATCGATAACAAAATATTTCAAAATAATGATGTTATAGGTACACTGAAGCATAGTAATTATAAATAATTAATTAAAATCGCCTTACTGGTTCAGGGGATACGAAAGAGAGTGCCAATCGAACAATATTGAGTTCGATCTTTGTCAAACTAAAATCCAAAAGCATTTATTTCAATTAAACTGTAATTTGGTACTTTTGGAATGTAACATCACGCCTTTTATCCACGAAAGGGTAGGCAGACGCGTACATTACGGTACAATGTAACACCCACTTTTCACTATTTATGTTACGAGTCCCATGTAATAGGGGGTGAGCCTATTGCCATATCCGGGCACAGTTCCAGACTCTGCTACCACTGAGAAAAAACCAGTAATACTTTGCCCGACTCGGGAATCGAACCCGAGATCCCTCGTGTTGTGATTAGTTTACTAATTACAAACCACAGATAACATAATGTAATGTGACGTTTTTGTATTAACTGTCAGTGTCACTCCGTTCACTTGTGTTGTCATGTTTTTTCTCTTGTACTTCCGCCCTGTTCCGTGAATATAGTTTTATTGCTCAGTCGTGCATTTTTATTTTAATAAAGTTTAGTTCTGGAATTACCTCTAATTATTCTATTGAACATTACCTCGCACTTGCGACCACTCGGCCAATGAGGCAGTCTGTTTTGAAACGTCAACAAATATAAAATGAATACATAATAGTCTGTCAGTCTGACCGTCAGTGAAGCTAGGTGCTCATTCCAAAATGTAGATTCGAGTGGAGAAGAACGAGCAAGTAACAACATTCGTTAAGTACCTACTCTTTTAAAAAATAGACGTGTGGGATTTTATTTTATTTTTTAAACTGTCAAACACCAAGCGGTCACCGGTGACCGCAACCTATTGTTCTATAATTGTGTCTACAAAACCGGTACTCGACGAGTTAAGGGGGGGAAATCATCGAATGACTGCTCCCGCCTGGGTGAGGCGGGAGAGAGTGTCAGACTCTTACTGACTAAAAACCACCCCGTTCCTTCTCCTGCACTTCGAGCCGGAGCCCCGGTTACCCGTTAGGTTCACCGCGACAGACGTGTGGGATAAAGTATTATCAGTGGACTATAGCACTCTATCGCTGGATGCAGGTCGCTTCCAACCGACCTATCTGGAAGTCATTGGGGAGGCCTATGTTCAGCAGTGGACATCCTGTGGCTGATATGATGATGATGATAATGATGATAGCACTCTATTGCGTAAATCAGAATCTTGGCTGAATGGTAGATCGCAGTATAAAAGGTTCATGTTAACCAGAGAGCGCTGCTACCTGGTCTATCAAATATGTAATCTCTTAGTCGGGTATACATCACCCGCGGGAAGAGTAGGGGTGGTGCAAAAATATTCAACGCAAAGATACGATTATGTTATGTAAAAGGCGTAAATAATGTATGATGTTAAATCAGAGATACGTATATCAAAAGACCATACATTGTAGGTATTTTTTTTAAGGGGGGAAAATCATCGAATGACTGCTCCCGTGTGGGTGAGGCGGGAGGGAGTGTCAGACTCTTACTGACTAAAAACCACCCCGTTCCTTCTCCTGCACGTCGAGTCGGAGCCCCGGTTACCCGTTAGGTTCTCCGCGACAGAACGAGAAGTCTTGGGTTCGATTCCTGGATCGGGTATAAAAATTATTAGGGCCTAGCATAAGGTGTTATTAGGGTTAGTTACGCCAGTTAGGTTCTCCGCGACTCATTGTAGGTATAGGGAGGCTTGGTAGTTTTTGCTTATCCTCCTGGGACATAAGACATGGTACGTCTTTGTGTATGTGTGTTGGTTTATTACTGATGTCCTTCGATCTTCGATATTCGGAGGTCAAGTTATTATTTACTACTAGATTCTGATGCGTCTTGGCCTGCGATCCCGTGGGATTTAAATTAACTGTTCAAAATTCATCCCGATCCCTTCAGCCATTTTGACGTGGTTGAGTTATGAACATACAGACAAACTTTCGCATTTATAATTAGTAAGGGCCAATTCTTTTATCAGTTATTCTTAACTGTAGAATAAAATTGGAATTAGACAGTTTTTAGTACGGAAGAATTGTTAAATATTCTAAGTTATTAAAATTGAACTGGCCTTGGTAAAATCCGATCGATGAAAATAATATTGTCATGTGTGTATGCATGTTTAACGTATCATAGGTAATTGGGATGATGACAGGGTATGAAAATTAAAAATCTAATTCGTAATTGGTAATTAAAAAATATTAGACACGTATTTTTTTATTTTGTCGTATAATAAAACAATACTTAGATAAAACGTATCAAAGTTTAGGAGTGGGGGCTAAAACGTCATTTCTTCGTATAAAATGTACATAGAAGTGACGTCACGCGACATTTCTAATCAATATATAGTCGAAAGTATTCGTTTCTGTAAGATAATAAAAAATACGTGTCTAATGATTTAAAATAATCTACCAGACGAACATTGAAATAAAAATTAGGCATCTACCCTATTCATGACATGCTCTGAACTCCACTAGGGAGGTTACGGTAACGTAAAAACCCCACACCTCGAGGTATTTTTTAAGGTCCCTCATCATTTCTTATATACAGTCACCTAACTTATTTAGCATGCAGTTATTGTCTCTGTACTGAATCAATCTTTATTCTTTTACCTGCATACTTTAACTTGACTGACTGTTATTACTCGTTGAATACCGTCATTATAGACACAATTAAAGAACAATAAGTTGCGGTCACCGGTGTCCTCGCGGTGTTTGACAGTTTAAAAGGGGTCCTTCTGTAAGAGAATTTCCCTTCTTCTGATGTTCTTTTAATTAGTCGTGGTGGCGTTAAGACGGCCGCTTCTCATGCATTAGAGTGCAGTTTCAAAACCTACCAACGGCAAGTACCAATGTGACTATTTCCGAGTTATATGTACTCTCTAAGATTATTTAGGCACCACTGACAAACGGTGAAGGAAATCATCGTGAGGAAACCTGGGCTCTAATTAATTATAAGTTTGAAATCGCCAACCCGCATTGAGCAAGCGTGGTGGTTAATGCTCAAACCTTCTCCGTGTGAGAAGAGGCCTTTGGTCAGCAGTGGGCATTTGCATACTATTGATGATCTTCGTTGAATTAACTAACTTAATGGTACAACTCACCTCGCCATGTAGACCCCTGCCTTCAGGCGTGTTCTCCGGCATGAAGTACAGCCGCAGACTGACCAGGGTCTGGTCGGAGACACGGTCTGTCCATAGCAGTTGGAGCTCGCCTGAAGCAGAGGATAGAGGATTGAAGAAATTATTACTATGTTTAAAACCTTTGACTGCCGGCAGAAAACCGTTGAAGGCAAATCCTTTGCTAATGTAGGTTACCGGTGACCTAAGCGGCAGTTAACGACTTAAAGATATTAATTGTTTGGGATATAAGCCGGTACATGAGCAGACGATCTCTTGATGTTAAGCAGAAGCTTCTCTTTAAGTCAAAAAAGCCTCTGAACTCAGCAGCTAATGATGAATGGTCTCCTAAATAAATACGAGATACTTCAATATACCTAATCTTACGAAAATCTTTTACATCATTAGAATTAAACAGCATGTATTGTTATGTAAACTGAACGTGTGTACAATACTTCAGCTCAATCGGTTGAAGATATCTACTTCACAGTTCAGTTGCAAGGATCCACTTCACACACATACATAACATAACATCACGCCTTTTATGCCTGATGAGGTAGACAGACGTGCACATTATGCCACTGTACAATGTAACACCCACTTTTCACTATTTATGTATTATTATAAGTCCCATGCTTTTTTTTTAAAAACGTTGCCCCACGCTAGGTTTATCTCCTGTGTCGTGGGTGCGTTTACAAACATACAAGTTCACATACACATGACACCCAGACCCGAAACAACAATTTGTGGATCACACAAAGTGTTGTTCCGTGCGGGAATCGAACCCGCGACACGTTGCACGGCAGCCGGTTGCTCAGCCACCGCACCAACCGTGCAGTCAAAATGTAATAAGGGGTGAGCCTATTGCCATATACCGGGCACAATTCCAGACTCCGTGCTACTACTAAGAATTTTTTAAAAACCCATTAATACTTTGCCCGACCTAAGAATAAACCCAAGACCCTTTGCCCAGCAGTCGCACTTGCGACCATTCGGCCAACGAGACAGGCACACACACATTGTAAGTTAAATAACAGCGTGGACAGCCTCCTTACCTATGGACACGAGCTCTGAATCCTGCCAGACCTTGACGAAGAAGAAGTCCCCTATGGCTATGATCTTCTCCGAGGGTCCTGTCAGCCGGAGCGCCTTGTAGAAGGTGTACTGGCCGTGCTGGCCACATGGGGCTCCCACCAGCTGGAACAATAGAGAGAATGGGTTACTGGTACAGATACAATAATAGGGGAAAGTTCTTTTTTAACCGACTTCAAAACAAAATAAGGTCGACCTGTATGTATGTACGTTTGTGCGAGATTATCTCGCGATTGGCTGAATCGATTTTGATGCGGTTTGCAGAAAAAGGTTTGTAACATTTAGGAGAAGATTTAAGTGTATTAATTCACAGACTTAAAAAAAGAGAGAGTTGCTAGTCGGTTTTTTTTAAATTTATTTATTGCACATATACATATCGTCGGTTAAATAGAAAAATGACGTTATTCAGAAAGTACAAATTTTACAGTATAAACGTTTGAAGTTTTTAATTTCATTAAAAACCACAGATAATCAAAATGACACTTGCGACATCTGGTAAACTTGGCGTAAACTATTTAAAGTGTCGTTTTTACGTATAAAATAATCTTGTTAGTAGACTCGTTTTATGCAATAATCTTATTTTCCAAAAAATTTGAGAAATGCCATTTTTCCATTTAATCGACGATATGACAATTGTAATTACAGAATTATTACAATAAAAAAAAAAACATTAATTATTGAACTATCTGACGACTTCAATAAGAGAGAGAAATTGAGAGATCGATTATACGAAATCGGCAGCAACTAAATCTAAGCAAGTAAAAACAGAACTCTGTTGAAGGCTAATCCTTCGTTAACGTCGCATCGCATTGGTCATCGGTGCCCTCAAAGGCGTTTAACGTGTTAATATTTTGAGCTCTTGAAGAGGCCTTTTCAAATTTCAAACGTTTCTTGGCCTGGGGACTTTGTATTTCTTAATTAAGGTATTATTAATGTCTCTACATTTCTGAATCAACTCATGCGACATCCACGAGAAGAACAGAGATTGACCATCTCTCAAACGCATTCTACTCTACGATTACTACACCGTTAACAGCTACACCTGCTTATCCCCTTACAAATCAAAAACCCTTTAAGATATCTGACTAACAGACTGCCTTGTTAACCGAGTGGTCGCAAGTGTGACTGCCGGGCAAGGGGTCTCGAGTTCGATTCCCGGGTCGGGCAAAGTATTACTGTGGTTTTCAAAAACTTCTCATTAAGTAGTACCACGGAGTCTGGAATGGGGTAGACGACTAATTTTTATTTTAATGTCCGTCTGGTAGATTATTTAAAAACATTAGACACGTATTTTTTATTTTCTTACGGAAACGAATAGTTTCGAAGATATATTGATTTGAAATGTCGCGTGACGTCACTTCTCAGCACATTTTATACTAAGGAATGACGTTTTAACCCCCACTCCTAAACTTTGATACGTTTTATCTAAGTATTGTTTTAATATACGACAAAATAAAAAAATACGTGTGTAATATTTTTTAATTACCTAACTTACGGACTAATTATATTTTTAATTGTCATACCCTGTCATCATCCCCATTGTGCCCGGTATTTTTTTTAATGGGACAAGGCCGCTACAACCTCCCAAAACCGCTGCAACTCCTGTAAGCCAGGATCTACAGTAATCGTGCCCGGTATATGGCAATAGGCTAAACCACTATTACATGGGACTCATAATATAAATAGTGAAAAGTGGGTGTTACATTGTACAGTGGCATTAAGTCCCGAAATGTGCACCTCTGCCTACCCCTTCGGGGATGTCGCGGAGAACCTAACGGGTAACCGGGGCTCCGGCTCGACGTGCAGGAGTAGGAACGGGGTGGTTTTTAGTCAGTAAGAGTCTGACACTCCCTCCCGCCTCACCCAGGCGGAAGCAGTCATTCGATGATTTTCCCCCCTTAAAAAAAAAGGCCTTCGGAGATAAAAAGCGTGATGTTATGTTATGTGATATCTGACTAAATAGAATTTTAATCAACGACAGTGGTTCTCTATACATAAATTTCAAAGTACAAATAACCAGAATATCCTGACCTCACTATCTACCACCTTTACATATATTGAACGGTCAATTTATACTGGATCGTAGCTATATATCCAATTTTATCCTGGTCTTCTTCTGTATGGCCTTTACATACATTCAATAGTCGAGCTTATACTGGACAACATCGAGGTATGAAAAACCAGTAATCATGATCTCTCTTTATAGGATCTCTGCGCATATTTGAGTGTCAGATTATACTGGTTTTGCATAGATTGATCTGTTATTGTGTATCAAGGTAATCAATAGTGTCTACGTTTCTAGGTATTAATATATAGTCGCATTCAGCTATGTGTGTGTTGGAATACTAATATTATAATTAGGGAATAAGGTTCAAAATTGATTGATTTGTTTATTAGAAGATTATTGAATGGTCGTAGTAGTAACGAGAAGTCTTTTTTTTTATGTTTTTCTTTAAGGGGGAAAATCATCGAATGACTGCTCCCGCCTGGGTGAGGCGGGAGGGAGTGTCAGACTCTTACTGACTAAAAACCACCCTGTTCCTTCTCCTGCACGTCGAGCCGGAGCCCCGGTTACGTTAGGTTCTCCGCGACAGAACGAGAAGTCTTGGGTTCGATTCCTGTATCGGGTATAAAAATTATTAGGGCCTAGCATAAGGTGTTATTAGGGTTTGTTTCCGAGATTCCGTTCTTTTTGTTGTCTAGTCATACCAAATTACAGCTTTGAGTACGTACATATTGTACATACTAAGAGTGTTTGAGAATGGACCGACAGATGAACACAGCGAAGCTATAAGTATTCCTTTTTAATTACAAAACCTTAAAAAGTACATTTATAATATTATTATTATTTATTTTATCCTGACTCGTTGGCCGAGTGGTCGTAAGTGCGACTGCCGGGCAAGGGGTCTCGGGTTCGATTCCCGGGTCCGGTAAAGTATAACTGGGTTTTTTTTAAATATTCTCAGTAGTAGCACGGAGTCTGGAATTGTGCCCGGTATATGGCAATAGGGTCACCCCCTATTACATGGGACTCATAACATAAATAGTGAAAAGTAGGTGTTACATTGTACTTACAGTGGTATAATATGCATCTCTGCCTACCCCTTCGGGGATACAATGCGTGATTTTATGTTATGTTATTATTTATTTAACACTTTATGTACAAATGTGTAGGTATACAATGGCGGGCTTATTGCCTGATGGCATTCTCTACCAGCCAACCACGGGGTGATGCAGAGAAGTGTTACAGTAGGATATAAACGAAGTTTGTATCTATTGAAAAACGAGGGTGATAAATGAACGTATATATAAAGGTATCCCAGTACATAAACTACATACCAATACCACAGTATAAAAAAACATACAATTTTAAATATTTATGGTAAGTGTAACAAAGAAGTCCGGAGATTATTCAGTGCATTTTATACGCATCCTACCGGAGATGAAAATGCAGCTCAGACAACAGCAACGAACTCTGGCGATCACCCAAAATATGCTGTTAAAATGATGATATTTGTCATCATCAACGATCTTATCAATCAATCTGTACACTACATACATACATATATAACTTCACGCCTGTCTCCCATGGGGGCAGGCAGAGACTAGGGAACGCCAATTACTACGATTCTCACATGCCTCTTTCGCTTCATCAACAGTCATCAGTATTTTCATGCTCGTCGGTTAAGGGTACTTTTAATTTGGCCCATCTTTAATATATATCGCCAATCTGGTCAGTACATGAGTTGTTAATTCGTTAAATGTGGGAGAGCCATGCTTCGGCACGAATGGGCTGGCTCCACCGGAGTGATACCACGGCCTCACAGAAAACCGTCGTGAAGCAACGCTTGCGTTGTGTTTCGTCGTGTAAGTTAAGTTACCGGGGGCCCAATTTCCCCCCTCCCCAATCTCTCCAATCCCTGTATCACCAACAATCCTCAAATTCTGTTAATACACTTGTATCGCCTCTGATGTTCCAGGTGTCCATGGGTGACGCCGATTGCTTACCATCAGGTGATCCGTCTGCTCGTTTACCGACTTATCCCATAAAAAAAATATCTTGATTCAGCTCATGAGATTGTCGACATGTCGCGAGCATGTCTGTCAGGAGAGCAGACGAATAACTGTCTACTCGATGCCAGCGATACCAGTACACGTGTGTCACTGGACAGTGAACCTCGCTACCATCAGTTGACTGGACATCTACACTACATGAGCTGCTATTTACATGTGACCATTAGCTCATGACGATACCAGCGCACATGTGTCACTGGACAGTGAACCTCGCTACCATCAGTTGACTGGACATCTACACTACATGAGCTGCTGTTTACATGTGAACATTAGCTCATGACGATACCAGCGTCCGTGTGTCACTGGACAGTGAACCTCGCTACCATCAGTTGACAGGGCATCATCGCTACATGGGCTGCTGTTTATTCTCAACTTCTTGGAAGCTGAAAACAATTGTATTCTCTTGTCGAGATTCGCAGTGGGTGAGTAGGTACCAGGAAAATGTTATTTTTTGTTTTGTTTTTGACGCAAACTTTGAAACATTTTTTGTCAAATGGAGTTTTTATTCGTAAAATGAAAATAAGGAAAGTCACATTAACTGTTTGCGTCGTGGGTCAAGCGGTGGGCAAGAGCGACTGCTTGCATGAGGTAGTTAGTTCGACTCTCATTTACAATCTTTTCATCTGAAGATGACTCTTTGGCCGAGTGGTCGCGAGTGCGATTTCCAGGTAAGGGGTGTCGCGTTAAATTCTCGAGTCGGGCAAGGTATTGCTGGGTTTTTTAAAAAAGTTCTCAGTAGCACGAAGTCTGGAATTGTGCCCGGTATATGGCAATAGTCTAACCCCCTATTACATGGGACTCATAATATAAATATTGAAAAGTGGGTATTACATTGTACAGTGACGTTAAGTGCCGTAATATGGACCTCTGCCTACCCCTTCGGGGATAAAAAGGCGTGATGGTATGTTAAGTCTTCTGATGATATCTTCTGATTTATTGTGTTGTGACATACGAGATAGTGGTTCAAGTCCCTTAAACGTTGGACTTTAATATCTACTGTAGATCCTGGTACATAGGAGTTGCAGCAAAAC